CTTCTGAGGTTTTAATAAGATAATCTGATTAGTGTAAAGAGGATGGGATTTGAAGATTTTATAGTTTATAGTTTCTTTAAAAAATATTAGTTGGTATTTAATAAAAAAACAACAACACTGTATTTCGAAAATTACGAATGTGTTCATTTCTACAAAACACAAATATATTTACAAAATACACTGAATTTCAGTTGTTACTGATTCAGATTAGCAAAAACCAAATACTGTTTTGTGTTTAAATATCAGTTTTCTGATATAAAAAAATCCCCCATACATCCTGTCCTTGTTYCTRATCAGAGTAACTGACACAAGATGYAGAGAACATCAAGAGTGTATGACTTTTAAATTGGGATATACTGTAAATCTCTTCCAGGGTTAATGTCTTAGAAGTGGAGAACAGGCAGCTGCAGGACAGAACCATGAAGCTCTCCACTCAAGTCAGCTCCTTAGAGCGAGCTCTGAGGAACGTCGAGTCGTTCTACAGCCTGGAGGTAAAATAGAAACATCTTTAGGTGGATGTGCTCTATAAGGTGTCAGATTTAGGCATTTTGCAAAAATTGGTTCAAGACTAAATYTGCATGCTTTGTTGAGTAGTGTCATACAGATAAATAAGAGATGCTTTATAACTTAATTGAAAACAAGAATTATTTGTGAAATGTTTTTGTTTGGCAATAAATCCTTCACATTTTGAGCAGAATGCCAAAAAACTGGTCACCTCCGATGGTCTCTCTGAGGGCATCCTACATGCTTCCACAGTAAGGTAATGCATTCTGAGACAAATAAAGTGCTTTTACATGTAAAATTTGTAACAATATAGAGACTCTTGGAACACTAATCCRTCAATATTACATTAATGTTTCTGKTTTTTTTTAAACAAGTCTGTAAATTTGATGCAAAGGGACATGAATGGACAACAAATCCAGCGAACATTTTCTTACGTTTTCTTTGTCAATTTTCAGTCTGACCTCAGGCTGCCGTGACCCGAACATCCTGGACACAATCTGCCGTGCGAAGGGGAGCAAGCACGTGGTGTTGGACAGCTCGAGGGCGTCGCTGTCCACACCGCAGCCATCTGAGCAGGGCTACCTGAACCTCACTTCCCCACTGGTTACTCCAAACACCTCACAAGCCACGGAGGAGAGTCCTAATAAGAGTGGCCAGGTTTGAGGGCTCAGRACTTTAGCACTTCAGTAGCCAGTATTTGGCAGCAAGACTGCCACTTCCACTGCAGGAGAAAAATCTATACCCAGTGATAATAAAGTCAGTAATAATGAAAGAGTACAGTTCTGCTCAGGGTAGTATTTGATTTTCCAGTACTGTATTTTAAACCCAGTTTTTATGAAAATGAATATAGGAAGATTTCTTAAAAAAGCTTCTACAAGTGTCAATCAAATGTTTTTTTTTRAAGAAAAAGTTTAAAGAATATATATTTAATGTACAAATTGTTTTTGGAAGCTAGCCAATGACACTTATCAGAAGGCAGGATGTGAGTACATGCAGGAGTCCTGGATGTTTGCACCTGAAAGATAATCAGAACGACTGAAATAATACTGTGCTTGTTGTGTAAAGTTGCATCAGTGATGTAAATGTCCAGAACTTTCTTATGAGGGTTATTTCAATGAATATTTTTAACATAAGCACTTTAAAACACGTTTTTTTACACTAAAGCTGTTTACATTGGAGAAYCTGTAGCGATTGAATGCATTAGAGGGATTTTGGCATTTTGCCCAGTTAGATATAATCTGTGCAGTGTTTTAATGCCTTATAATGCCTGTGGAGTTTAAAGTTTTAAATCTAATCAGTAGTTTGCAAGTTTATATCATCTACAAGATTGTTGTTTTTAATGGGCCTACTTCACGTTCAGTTATGGTACTGATGGGTCTCCATCATGAGATTGGTCACTCGTGTCTTACTAGTTGTCCCCACTTAAATATTTGGAACGTGAGGCGTCCAAATCCTTGGGAAAATACACTGAATATGTTCACAGTTCTTCTTTCTTCACTCTGTTTTAAAGTTTTCCCTGTTAGTTTTTTTATGTTGATTTGCTTCAAATGATTTTTCTGATGGTCACAAAGCTAACAGCCACTAAGATCATGTTTCTGTTTTGCACATCACGATATCTGTTATTTGATTTTTTTATTTTTTACAGGTTATAAAACACAACGTTCCTCCCACAGTCTAAAAACACGTTAGGCTGCCTTCAGGCCCAGGCCTCTCTTGCAATAGAATTTTGTTAATAGTGGCTACTTATAGTTGTCACTAAATAATAGTACATTGAACTTATATAGTGCTTTTTAAGACACTCAAAGATGCTTGGTGGTGGTAAGCTATAATGTAGCCACAGCTGCCCTGGGCTACGCTGACAGAAGCAGCCACCAGACCCTCTGACCACCACCAGCAGGCAAGTTGAATGTTCAAATTGTATCTGTTGTTTAGAAATCAGGCTGTGCATCTGTTCAATATAAGGTTAAACCTTTCTTCTAATGTGTTGTATATGGATAAAAGTACATCTGTCCATACAGCAACAAAAGAAAATATTCTGGTTTCCAAATATGTCCATATACGCAATTATTTTTATCATTAGTTTTACRCAAAGGAATCAGTCATGTCCCTGGAATGATGAAGCTTTTAACTTTATCCTGCTGCTGAATGAATACCTTTATGAACAAAGCGTTTTGTTTGAAAGAAAAAATTAATTTGTCTTTGTATAAGAACATTTTCAAAAAAGAAAAAAACTATTTTCATAAATAAAAGTGTACTCGACGTATATATACTGTATATGCATGTTTTTTTGTTCCCACTCAAAAGAAAAACTGATCAAATGAAGAAACCGGATAGTTTAACAGTCTGTTTATTAAACAAGGTAAAGATACAAAGCTTTTTTTTTTTATTCCATTTCTTTTTTTTTTAAACATTGATAACCTTAATTGGACTTCTCAGTCTGGGCTGTGCATATTTAGTTGTCTAGAAACTGTATATGAAACATCAATGCAAGACAGAAAAAAAGTGTAATAATCCTACAGAATATCTTTTTTTTAATAGAGAACATGGGTTAAACAATTATACAGATTACAGCTCAATAACTCCATGCGGATCAAACAAACAAACAAACAAACAAACGAAAAATAAACAAAAAAAGTGTTTACACGACTGAATACTGCAGAACACAACACAGTAATGAAGTTGGGATGATAAACAGTTAAGGCGTACATGTAAATAACTGATATAAAACATGTATATTAATAAAAACATACAGGTAGACTAAAGTAATTACAGTAAAATTTATATATAAACTTTTACAAAAATCCAAACAGAAAATGTCGATGGAAACTTAGAAACAGGTGCGATACAAGAGCAACATAGTTTACAGTACACCAGCGTGTACTTTTACTATGCTCTCAAAAGAAAGAGTTAAGTTGAAGAGGCAGGGTTTGTTGTTTGGAGTAAATGTCTGTTTCCAGGCCAGAGGCTTGAGTAATAGGTTTTAATTCTTTTGTTTTTTCAAAAACATACTATATACTGTATATGTATTTTACATTATTCTCAGTTCCATCTCAGAACCTAGCCGCTGCACCTTTTCTGAAGCACCCTGGAGAACACAGGGAACCCTAGAAGTACCATTCAGATTACAGTTACAGTAAAAATACAACAAATACTGTGTACAATAAAAATAATACTAAAGAGAAAAAAAAAACAACCAAAACAAAAGCTGAGGATTATCCTCCGCAAACACTCATAATCCTACTGATTTATACTGCAGTTTATTCCGAAATGGGTAAAGCTTATTAGAGATTTAAAAAAAAACAAACTTGACTGGGTTAGAAAAACTGTACAAAAACTTCACATTTTGGTCCAGTGGCTGGATTCCGAATCACCCACTCACGAGTAATTTCTTTTTAAATTTCAGCTGTGTTTTGAGCTTATCAGAAAAAAAAGGCTAAAAGAAGTGAAAGAGCTGGCACCAACGTTTAAAAAACGTCAACATCTGAAACATTTTTCTAATTCTTTAAAAATAACCATAAAAGCTCGATTGAATCATAAACTAATAGAAAAACTAGTTTCCCCTTAAATGCTCAAAGRTTTATATATGGCACTGATCACAGAGAAAAACAGGGAACATAGGAGTGTTTTTTATGATTGGCAGAWTTATAGAAGTCCCTCAAATTTGAAGTGGAAGGTTTTTAACAAAAAAAAAAAACAACGTAATTTTTGGCTTCGTAAAACCAATAATTCAGCTTTTAAAATACAATCATTAAAAACTTTTAATTGTCATCAAGTGATTGCCTTTTATCAAATTTCAGTGAATGAGCACTTGTGCAGAAATGTAAAAAAACAAACAAACAAAAAAAAACAAAGAAAGTCATGCAAAAAGACTGTTATTTGTACTTTTAGCTGCCACAAGCAATGCCCTTTGGCATTTTTCACCTAACATGATTAAAACCATTTGAGTCAAATCCAAAAGGCCAAAAAAGTGCTTTAAGATTTTCTTTGGATGTGTTTGAAATACACCCAGCAAAACTTTCATTTGTTTCTTTCTCTTTTTTTTTTTCCATTTCTCTCAACTCTTAAAAGGGCAAATATCTAAAATATATTTTGGAAACTCATTCATTGGAAAAAAGGGGAAAAGACCTAAGCAAAATAAAATAAAATAAATCTAAAACATTAATGGCCGACGCATCCAACGGTGCACACGAGGCTTACAAAAGTGCTTACTGAATCTGACGCCAGACATTCTTCGAGCCACCAGATAACATCAAGCTGCACGGTTACATTCACAAAAATACCACTGTGCTCACTTTTGACGGACGGCCTGAGATGGATGGAGATCGTCCGTTGACTGAATCTAACACAGAATGTTAAAATGTCAGCTGTCACTATGGTAGCGTACTGTAAGTCTGATGGAGATGGCCGCAGGTGCGGGGGGTCCTCGTGAGGTCCGGCCAAGTGTAGAATCCGGAAAAAAAACCTCTAAAAATCTCGCTGTTTGGGGAGCTCAGATGAGGGAGATGCGGATGGGGATGCTGGGGGACTCGGTCCTCTGGGGGGACTGGTTGCTCACTAGGTGTTCCACCACCGTGTGTTTGGACATGTGCTTCATTAGGTAGGTCTCCTGGAAATAAATGAAAACACATCAACAAATGACATCACGGCACTGCTTACCAAATTTACATATGGACACGAGCGCTTTACCGGATCAAATATTAACTTAAATCCTATCTGTCACATTGAATGTTTCCATTTATTTTGAAGTGGGACTAAATCCAACAGTAGCTGTTTGTAAAGGACCTGCATTCTGTGACACTGTGCGCTTTTACATGTTCCTTCAGTAGTTCTGATTAAATTATATACTTTTTGTTTTACTAGGTTAAAATCCTTGGATCATCTACCTTATAGATTAAATCTGCACCGTGTTGAGGATAAACATGGCAGATAAAATAACACTGAATCTAAACAAAGTACACTGACTGGCAATTAGGGTTGGGCAATAAATCAATAACAATATATTTTGCGATAGAGAATTTGTTCAATAGAATGTTGATAATTTCACTGAATGCACAGCATTCTGGGGGATGTAGGCAGAGGAAAGGCTTTAGCTGCTCGACCTCTCACATCCCAGCTAAGCAAAGCTGGTGGCATCAACKCACTCTTTGCTAAGCTAGCAACAACCTGTTGAGTAACATGTTCAGTAGCAGTTTCATGTTTCACCACTGTGCCTTAAAACTGCTTAAAATAAAAGTGAAYGTCGTGGAGTGAAAGGAGAAAACAAGAGCAACGGCTCGAGAAGAAATTGTGGATTAAAAAAAAAGAAAGGTCACGTCAGCAGTTTTAATCAGCTTTTTTTCCTCCTGGACCTTATTTTAAAGMATCTATAATTATCGATATCGACTGATATGAAACACTTATACTGTGATACATTCTTTCAGCCATATCGCCCAGCCCTAATGACAATCCACTGTTTATGTGACAACTTTTAGGTTTGTTTCAGTGTCGGTGTAGTGTGACATTTAAACATTGTTCTCGTCGGCTTTTTTTCCTTATTGTAACAGGTTTTGCGTTCGGTACATGGTAAACCAGTCAGGTGAAAAGACAGTCCCAAAATTTCCCTCAGAGCTGTCATTGCGCCCCTCCCAGTGTTGGTAAAATCAACAAAGCGTTCTCGATAAATGTTCTTTGCGCTAAGATGACATGCTGAGAACTCTTCCTCTCTGCATGTTTGCACAAAAAGCAAAAGCCTCGCAAACAGGAAGCATGACCTCTTCCAGTCAGAAGACGACAGAGCATCATCAAATGTCACCATCTTATCAGCAGTAACGTCACCAACAACCKTTCTGAACACACTCTGGGAAAATGCAAGATAACGAGCAGGCAACTTGTGGTTCACTCACTGAGGTGTATGCCCGGCCACACATGCTGCAGCAGTAGGCCTTAGCGTTTTTGATGGCGTGTGCTGACAAGTGGATCTGCAGCGACGCRGAGTCTGAGTAGGCACGGTAGCAGTTGGGACATTTATACGGCTTGTCTTTATTGTGCTGCCTCTGGTGGGACTGTGGGAGAAAGAAACACAAGGAGAAATATTGGAAAAGGGGTACATGTTAAGGTTCAGTGTGTAGGCTGGAGGCATAAACCAAATGCTAATTAATTTACCACCACTTCACACATTTCTTYGAAAGATGAAAGGGTTTGAAATATCTCACTGTATTTCTACCAAAAGTTTGCTCAAAATTATATATAAAAAAACAATTCTGAAGAAACAGTCACTGTGTGAAAACTACAAGTATATATTTTAAGCTAAAATATAACTGAAGTTTTTATTTAAGCTAGGGTGTGCACTCTGCACTCTGGGGGGACATAAGAGAAAACCACATGTTGTACAGTGCAAAATACCAATGTTCTGAAGTATAATTTGTGTATGTACTAAAAAGAGTTACAGGAGTAAAAAAGAATGTTTGCAAAGAAATAAAAAAAATAAAAAAATATGCAACACTGCAAAAAATGTCCACCTAACCAAGTTTTAAAACCTTATATCAGCCAAAAATGTTTTTGATCTTGTTTTGAGACTGTTTTACTAAACAAGAACTGATTGTGTATGAATAATAATCTTGTTTTCAGAATGTGTAAGATTATTGGTCTTGTAATGGGCTCAACACACGGGAGGCGACAATCGCTTGCCCTCCTCCAGCTAAGCGACCGGCGAAAATAGTGCATGTGAAAGTTCGCGCTCGTACACGTAGACGTGCACACGCGAGCTTGCGACGCGACATATGAAAGTTGAAAAATGTTCAACTTTTGTTGCTGTCGCTTAGCATATAACCAATCAGCGAGGGTTTCATTGACTGACCAATGAGAGGAGAGTTACACTTTCACCAAGTGATTACTAAAAAAGGCAGCTTTGTGGGAATTTGTTGGTGCCAGGATGAAGTTATCCGGTAAGGTTTTCCTCAAAATTGTATCTTGGTGAGCGTTTGTTTTTCAATTTCATTAGCATCGCAAGATTTGTCACGTCCGTAATGCACACCCCCTTTTTTGTGAACCACCAATAACTTTTACAAGAGGTAGTAGAAGAACCAATCAAATTTTGTGAAGACAAGCGACCTGAGAGCGTAATTCGCAATGCTGCATTCGCTATCGCGTCCCGTGTGTCGGGTTTCACTCTGGCTGCGATAACAGCTGTTAATCACTGTAGTTTGTCGCTGCCCATGTGTCGAGCCCTTCAGCCTTAAAATTTGACTCAAATTAAGTAAAACATTTCTGCCAATGGAGTAAGAAATTTTTACTTTGTAAAATGGTATTCTTAAAATACTTGATTTGACTCATTTTTTTCTTATTTCAAGAATCTTACCAAGTAAAATTTTCTTACTCCATTGGCAGAAATTTTTTTACTTAATTTGAGTCAAATTTTCAGACTAAGACAAATAATCTTACACATTCTGAAAACAAGATGATTATTCTTACAYAATYAGTTTTTGTTTAGTAAATCAGTCTCAAAACAAGATCAAAAAGACTTTTTGGTTGGATATAAGATTTTAAAACTTGGTAAGATGGACAGTTTTTGCAGTGAACTCAAAAGTTTAAGTGTGTCAAACGTGGAAAAATGTGTAAAAATCACAAAATTGTAACTGGGTAAAAATGGAAAAAATATTTTGTTATGTTGTGCAGCATACTACTACCAAAAGATAAAGCAATACAATACTTATCCAGCATTATTTACTGGAAAACTGCTCACCCAGATACAGGGCAAAAATGTTGAACAGATAATGAGTGTGCTTCAATGACTTTCATATAAAAGAACATGAATCTTGTGATTTAAAGCGAGAAGAAAGCAGAGTCCTCACTCACCTGAAGGTTAGACAGCTGAGTAAAAGCTTTTTCACATCCAGGGTGAGCACATTTATAAGGCCGATCGCCAGTGTGGATTCTGTAGCAAAAGAAACAAAGATTTTAGAAACAATTTTTATGATAGCAGCTGAACTACAAAACCAGCCATTACAAATCCAGATCCATGTTTTACATATTTTCCCTCAAAAGCAAATCTGGTATCAAACAAAGCAAAAGTGTGACMATGAGTCATTCAACGGAAACTTGTGCTTTTGGAGCAGGGACACTTCCAAAAAATGTAAGAAACAATCCACAGAACCTGGATCATGTATAACATAATAACGTACTATAAATTTAAAAGGATGTTCTGATAAAATAAATGATAATGCAAGTWTTGTTTGTCTACTGTGACACCAACCTGGTGTGCTGCTGCAGGTGCGACAGCTGGCGGAAGGAGTTCTCGCAGTAGGAGCAGTGGTAGGGTTTGATACCAAGGTGGATGCGCAGGTGCTGGGACAGGTAGGAGGCRTTGGCAAACGTCTTGGAGCAGTGGGGACACTTGTGGGGTTTGGCCTCTGTGTGGGACTTGGAGTGAATCTGCATCTCAGACTTGGTTAGGAAGGTGAGCGGGCAGACTTTGCATCTAGATGTTGGGAAGAGACGGGAACACCACGGCATCGGACAGAGTCAGGGGAAGTTTGGTGAGTACTACAGACTAAAGCAGAACACAAAGTTCAACCGGTTCCTTGGTTATAAACTGAAGCAACAACCAAATCTGAAAGATAGTTTATGTCTAAATTAGCTGTGTCACATAAAGACAGCTAAAATCGAAAAAAAAAAATATATATATATATACAGTATATATATACAGTATATAAYAAAGTCCACAATTCCTGCTTCCATWGGATTTAGGAGGAAAAGTAGCAGCCAGGTGCTGCTAATCCAATGCACTTGATTAACGCACTGTCCATTTTCCAAGGAGTGGGTGTCCCAACAAATTCACCCCAAGGTCAGACCGTACAATGCGCTGAGAAACTGCAAAAGACCCAAGAGCCTCAGACCCTACAGAACCTCTAATCACAGTTAAATGTTGGAGGGCATGGCGGGACAGTTAGAGACAGAACAAATATGGCTCGTTTGGACTGGTTGTCCAAACCTCCTCTCAACAAAGAACATGGCAGCACAACTTAGTTTAATCTGAATGAATCACAAAACTTCTGGGAAAATATCCTCTGGACAGATGAGACCAACGTTGAGATGCTTACCCATAATGCACAGCTCTGCGTGTGGAAAATGCGTTTTTCTCTGCAACCCATATTTTAATGCTTTTACAATTTACCATATTTGCATAACGACCCCCTAGAACAGGGGTGTCAAACTCATTTTCACAGAGGGCCACATGAATGTTATGGTGGCCCTCATAGTGCTGTTAACTTTGATGTTTCATATTTAACTTTGACTAAACAGTTCTTTAACACATCCTCTTCTAAACACTGATAAGAACTAAGTGTACGACTGACTAAATCTGAAATAAATATAGAAA